AAAAAAAAAAAAAAAAAAAAAATAGGGTGCAAGATAAAATAAAAAAATAATGAAGAAAATTCAGCTAAGAAAGATTAAATAGATAAGTTATTGAATCTTACATTGATTTTAGTTCCTTTTAATATATTCCTAAGCCTAGTTTCTAAGTGTTATGGACGGTGATTACTTCCATAATTGTTTTGTAGCTTCTATTAACAAGGATCTAAGAGAATAATTATTCCTAACACTTCTATTACCTTCAAGTTGTTGGATGATTAAAGTCCCACATCGGTTAATTTAGGGAATGGTCATGGGTTTATAATCTAAGAATACACTCTTCATTGGGATGAGGCCTCTTGGGAAGCCCAAAGCAAAGCCATGAGAGCTTATGCTCAAAGTGGACAATATCATACCATTGTGGAGAGTCGTGTTCGTCTAACACAAGTATCTTGCAATAGAATTAGAGTATTAAAAAGAATTTCATTGCTCCTTGTCTTCTCCAGATAAGAGAACAACTATAGATGTAAAGTGATCGACTAAACAAACATGTTTATTTTTAATAACAATTCTATAATAAACTAAAATTACACCGTCAACATATTTAAAATACATAAAACTCTCTCGCCCTCTATAAAGTTTAGCTCTCCACTCAAGAATAAAAAGAGGAACCCACATACCAATCATGTAAAATTGGTAGAATAAGAAAAGTTGTCCTTCAATGGAAGTTCCCTTTCTTTAAGCTCTCACGTCCACCTCTTTGTCTTAATCTATCATTCTTGGTCATCTTTTCCTTCCCTTTTCTGTCTATTCCGTTTTTTTCCCTTTTGGCGGCTCTCTTTTCTTTTTAGGTAAACTTTTTCTTATACATTCTTCATTACTTCCCATTTAGGGCTGAAAAGGAGTAAACGTTCCCTTCGGATGTTCCTAATTGGGTAGTCAATGACCCACATGGTTTGTTGATTTGGATTATAATTTTCATGTCATCTTCGAAAAATTTGTTTTTCGTATTGCTTTAGAGTCAGCAATTTGTTTCCAGATTTGCTACAACATCATAGTTCAGCATAAATGTTATGAAATTCTATCAAATAACTCGATTAAATGTGCTATTAGACTCGATTGATGCAAATTGACTTTCTTTTCATTTCATGTTGAACCACCATGGATTATTTCTTACTTACTCATTAGAATAAAATGAGTCATTAATGAGAAAATGGTTTGTACGAGTAAAATTAACTAAAAAAAAAAAAACTGATATAACTCTACTTTTGGAAACTTGTCGGTAGTTAGTTACGTAAATTGAGTTCTATCACCCAAAAGTACCATTCTTAGACTCATATCAAAGTTCTTGGTGTAGCGAAATCTTTCTTATATACCATATAATTTTAAAATCTCTTTCTAGGAGCATTTCAAATATTTGTAGGTAACACATATATCATGTTTATCATTTTAGTTCAGTCTAATGCCCTAAACATGCATTCTTTTTAGAAATATAAGTAGTTCATACTTGCATGCTAGTATATCCTATTTATCCTCTAAACTCAGTACCCGTGACTTGACCCAATATGGACGCGCTATCCACGAGTGCAATGTCGTTGGGGCTCAAAATTGGGCTCTACAATGCACTGCCTGCCTACCTGCGCGTGGACCTTTGTATGTGGGCCCTACACGAGGTGGCCCACGTAGAGATTCTCCCAACTACACGTGAGGGCGCGTGGAGCATGTGGGTAGTAGGCTTGCATTCGTTTTGGCTTCTGTTTGCGTTTTTCATTTGAGGATCTACTATTGTGTGTAAAAATGGGTTGAGAGTCTAGGTTGTGACCTGTAAACTCGCCTTTAGAGAGGTGAGGGACTACATGAGTAATTTAGCTTATGATAGGTGTCGGTATCATTTTTGGAAACAGTCATGGGTCCCCTAATCAGGTTCGTTATACTATAAACCCACCTTAAAAGGGGAGAGGGACCACATGGATAGACCTAGTAGCTAGTAGACACATGAGGTCACTGTCTCATATGTTTACTGCATGATTTTTCTTGTTGAAGTGTTGCCAATTAACCTTACACAGATGTATTCTGACTAGTTGTGATATTGTCCTAATAAGATATGATGAAATTGTGCCTCGATTAAGGATATTAGACGTTCACTACTGTGGCAATGCAAGCTTACTAAGTATGAAAATAGAAAGTTGGTTCACTCCATGATGAGATTCACGGTCCAAAAGATCTACAAGGCTAAAACTTGGTGAATAGCTTCCAAACCTCGATAGGGTTTATGGGAGGTAAGAGAATCGCTTGATACTTTGAGGTCTTCCTAAAAAATGACTACATGTAGTAAAGAAATATAGAGTAAACTGAACCATATATATACCCTTAAGTCAGTGCTTTAAAAATGTATTTCTTGAATTCTTTGTGTTTCTCTTACATTACACCGTTGAAGTCATAAATATAAACCTCTAGTCAATATTCCTCATTGCATTTTTCTCTCTCCTATTTTTTGTGTTCATCTAGATCGAGTATGTGTGTTGTTGTGCGATCCTAACAACTAGTATCAGAGCTATGCAAGATTCACTATGATCTATGAAGATGGAAAGTTCAAAGATTGGAATTGAGAAGTTTGACGGATCCTATTTTAATTTTTGGAAGATGCATACTGAAAATTATCTGTATTGGAAAGATCTTCGTGAACTCCTATCAGGGTGAAGCCGGATACCATGACCACGGAGCAGTGAAAGCTCAAGAATTGTAAGGCTCTAAGGTTGATCTGGTTGACGTTGTACATTCAACATCATTATATATATATATATATATATATATATTACATCAATCGTGTACTTTCATTTCCTATTTCCAAATTATGTCTTCAAATAAGAAGAGAAAGAGAGATAAATATTAAAGCTATATAATGATAGAAAATATCATATCATTTAAAAAGCATATTACAACCCTCCCTCCACACATGTAATAAACCAAAATACAGTGAAGATATATATATATATATATACCAAATGTTAAAATTTTCAATTATGGATTGGACGGTTTTTGGTGGCTGGAGTATAATCCATCGTCACCAAGTCATCGGCGTTTACCAATCCTCCCCCACGACCTATGTCGAGCAGATCCTCCTTGTTATGCCTCATCTTTTCAAGCAAACTCCGTCCACCCAAAGAGCCTAAAACACCATGCATAGTGAAATTTTAAAGTAAAGATATGTTAGTTGCAGTAGAAAAATATGATATATATGTTAAACTATAATTCAAAACTAAATATCCTTAACATTGGTTACCTGTAATTGTGATGAGGAGAATGAAAAGAAAGAGGAGGGACAATAGTCGAAGGAGGCGATAGCATGAAAGTTTCGATGCCTTCGAAACCATGTTTTTGCGGTATGAAATTATGAACCCTTCTTTTTTGCTACTTCAATTTACTTTCTTTTTCTAAAAAATTTGCCTTATATAGAACTTGGATTTTTTCTCCATGCATAAAAAATATATATAATAATCATCATGTTGGGTTTAAATGGCCAGTACCTCCAATCATACATTTTCAGATGTCTATGTTTTCTTGGCAATTAGTAACCAATCAGTACAACTCTCTCTCTCTCTCACAAAATATTGATATTTTCGTATCTACCCATAAATCTATTTATTTTTCTTGGTTTTTAAAATACATTTAATACATTATTAGAGTTCAAAATTATGAGGTTCCATTCCGTTAGAGAACAGAACCGAAACAATTTATATAAGAGTGTCGAAACCTCTTCCTATCGTTTTAAAAATCAAGAGACAAAGCTCGAAAAGAAAAATCTCTAAGAGAACAATATTTGCTAGCGGTTGACTTGGACTATTACAAATGAGATTAGAGACAGATACCGGGCAATGTGTCAGTAAAGA